CCAACACACCTGACCTTGGACCTACACCTCAGAACCACTACCCTATGGCCTTCTTCTGCACCCTCACACACCCTTGTATCCCGACCACCAGTCCTGTGTCTGACACTGATAAACTTGTACGAACTGAGGGGCTGCCCAACAGCTTCCCAAGCTCCAGGGAAGGCAGACCTACAAAAATGTGTCTCTGGGGTCTTACTGAAACAATGCACCATGAGGTGTGGCAGGAGGCCATTTTCAATTCCCTCTGATACAACGTAGTGACACCAAAGTGCTGGGGATATTTGAGGGAGAAAATCTCCTCTAATAAGAAACACTGGGGACCCAGAGGTTAGGCTAAGTTGGGTAAGACAGAACTGTGGACTAATCTATATAGATATAAGTAAACGTGAAGACAGATGCTCGAGAACAGCTATTTATGTACAAAACTCTTGCTATACTAGGATCATAATGAACAAATATAAAGCAAACATATATTCTTCCAAAATTTGCAATAAAATCAAAAGATTGACCATGCTAAAGCAACACTAAACCATTATTAGATCCTGAGGGAATCAGTGACAAGGGATATTGTCCAAAATTGAACAGTAAATCCAAACCTTTGATGCATGGACACAGTGATGCAGGAACCCAGTCTCTCTGTCCCCTGAGGGCTCTCCCCAGGAAGGCCCAAGAGGCCAGGGGGAGTACTCAACTCCAGTTCGGGGACTAGTGAAAAAAGAACCCGGTACAATCCGACTAACATTATAGAACCCTGCAGCCAGAGAGACCCCATGCCACAAAGCTCACAAGTCCTTCACCAGAAATCCTGGTCTTGTTTATTCACCCACCAAGAACAATTGCCATCACCATCACAACAAGAAAATCCAAACAGATGCCATTCGTTTGACAAACATTATCTCTAATCTTACCACCACCCTGCAAGGAAGGAGTGTTTAATTCCCTCTTTACAGAAGAGAAGACAGGTCAGAGAGGGCACATGAGGAAGTTAGGGAGCAGTGCAACAAGTCAGAATTTGAATGCAGTCCGTCCACCCCCAAGCCCAGGCTCTGCCCCCAGTGTGTCTTGCCAAGCTATTGCTCAGGCCAGGGTATCTGTGAGCAGGAGAGTCTTGCTATATCCAGTTGCAAGACTTAGCAAGAGTGGAATGAGACTATCTATCTCCATCCTACAGCAACCAGAAAGACAGACTGGCAGAACTCCCAACCTCATTCTACAGGTGAGGCCTCTCATCTGAAAGCCTGGGACTGAAATCAACTACAGGGCATAGACAATGTACCAGATATGCCGTGCCCAACACCACACAGCAAGTGGGGTTTAGCTGGGATTTGATCCCAGGCAGTCTTCACTTCTCCAAACCTGTCTTCCAGCAGCTCAGGCAAACTTCACACCACCCATGGACTCACCCTCCCTAAGCCCCTGGCTGCAGTTTGCGCCGGCCCGAGGACCCCTGGGCCAATGGCGGTAAGTAGCCTTTACCACCTGCTCCATGAGCAAGAGGAAATAGGGCCCTTGCCTAATAGAGGAAGTTCCTGGGCGGGGCAGGCACAAGGCCAGGAGGCCTGCCTGCGGGGCCCCAGACCAGTCACAGGTCCAGGAAGAGACTGTCTCCAGAGCCCGGTTCCAGGGCAGATGCCAACCTGCAAGACTGGGGCTTGCAGCACCCCCCCCCATACCCACCAGCCCAGGGCATTGCCCCTTTAAGCAGCAATCAGCCAGCTGGCATGCCCGGTGGGTGAGTCAGCACCCAGTGCCCGCTGACTCACCCACCGGAAGCCTCCCGCTGCCCCAGCCCTCTCCCCATAGAGGCAACTAAGAACTTTGCTCCTTTCAGAGCCAAAGCCATGGGCTGGCTGATAGAGAGTTTCCTGTGCGTCACGCCACGGGTGGGGGAAGTCCCAAGGTGCCACCCTCTAATCTTTCCGATAGCCGGGACATGATAGAACTGGCGGGTGGAGTGGGGGATACTGCTGCAGCCACCACAGCCAGGACACGGACAGTGCTCCTACAGCCTCAGTGTCCCCACAGGGCACAGGGGGCAACTGGGAGTCAACTGAGCATCAGCCAACATGTGCCCATGTGGATGGTGCTCATAATGCAGCAGGGAAAGTATGGTCCCCCCAGAACAAATATGGCTTGAGGCAGCAGAGATGGACTACGTCAACCAAATGTGCCCCTGTCCACTGGCCCCAGCGCCAGCTGCCCTTAGCCTCTGACCCCAGCCAAAGACGGCAAGAAAACCAGCAGGGTCATGAGGTCTGGGGCCTCATATACTCATGGAAAACTCCCCAGGCGTGTGCATGGAGCACAGGGCAGGGCACCTCCTGCAAGGCAGGAAGCTCAAAGATAAAACTTCATAAGGTCAAGTGCCAGTCACACCCTGCTTTGTTTAAATTCCTCCAAAAGGGAAGAAAAAGAGGTCCTATGCCAACGAACTGCTCAGCCACTCCCCCTGCTGACCCGGGTTCTGTCATCTGTCGGGTGGGACGGACTGCAGTGAGTATGCAATGTGCCGACTGTAAAGGGCCAAGCACACAATAGGAATCGCCTCTGCTTCGATCTATCCTCGATCTATCCAAATGGAGCATGGTCTGGAAGGGACTCCCACAGGACAGAGTACTGGGGGCTCACTGGGGGAAGTGTCCCACCAGCTAGCTCAAGCCTCCAGCACAGGAATGGGACAAAGGGGAGGATAGGGAGGCTTCAGAAGATATACAATCCTGGGTGGAACCCCAGAGCTCCAGCAGCACAGATGCATGACCTCAGGCCAAGCATCAAATGACTCTGAACCTGTCTCATCTGTAAATGGGGCTGTGAGCAACACATGGCACATGGGAAAAAGTTGGTAAGTGGGAATGCTTAAAATTTTTGGTTAAGATACATTGTGATTCTCCCATTATATCCTTCCATGGACCCCAAAGAGGCTGATGAGGCCCTTGGCATGGGGGAAGTCTCTGGTCCACAAACCAGTCCACCCAACATCATTTATTGCCTGGATCTACAAACTGGAATTTCATCCTGCTCCTCTCTCTGCAGAGACTCAGAGAGAACAATGCCAGAACTCCAGTCACACAACATATGGGGATCAAACAGTATCTCCCTGAAAGGCTTTTTCCCTATATCCCTAAATACTTCTCCCTCACAACCCAGAAACTTTAGCTTTGATTTTGATGAGGAATACCCTGCCTGTAGAGCAGAAGGAGGCTTCATAAACAAACAGTGCCTCCAACTTCTTCCTTCTACCCATGAAAACACCATGGCCCAGAGAGGTTAAGGGACCTGCCCCAAACCCCACAGCACTGAACAAGGCAACTGAGATCCTGAGCTGCTGGAGAAGTGGAAAAGCATCTGATTTCCTGGTTCCCAAGCACCACGAGGTCTGTGCTAAGCAAGTCCCTCCCCAACCACCTCCCCCCTCGAGTGCCTCCGGAGTTACTCACAGTGGTTGGGCAATGGTCAGGGATCCGGCCTCCCACTTATGTAAGACGTAATTACCCTGCCCACCCGGCCTGCTGGCTGGGCTCTGGTCCACAGCCACTAGCAGCAGGGGCAAGGAAAGACCCACACTCTCCCTGGGACCCCAGATGCCCTTTCGCTGCCTGAGATCCTCTAGGAAGTGAGGTAGGGTCAATTTCTGGTTAGGGGCAAGTAAGTACCAACTTTCACCACCCTGCTCTGCAGCTGCAACCCAAACAGAAGCAAGGTCTTGAGCTTGCATGGCTGAAGCCTTTCCAACAGAAAAATAGTAACAGTAACAAGCCACACAGCAATTGTCCCTTCCTCAGCAGCTACTTTGTACAGTTGCCATGCTGGGCTCTTTACCTCATTGCACACACTTGCCTTAAACTCTTTAATATTCACTGTCTCAAGTTATATACCAGAAGTCCACAGAGGGCAGGTGTGATTACTCCCATTTGAGAAAAAAGGAAACTGGGACCCAAAGACACTCCTGATGTAGGATGAGGCAGCAGCACACTTCAGGAGTGGGGAGGCAGCCCATTCATTACAGCTATGTCCGGTTTGGAAATCTCTCACACAGCCCAGCCTGTTAAGACTCCCGACATGCCAAAAACATCCTTTCCTCTTCCTGCCAAAAAAAAAAAAAAAAACCCTTTCGCCCTCTAAGCCTCATCCTCCCCCGCCTCTGCATGACAAATCCCACTGCTGCTGCTGAAGTCGCCACCTCACAAAAATTTCCAGGAAGACCAGCTACTTGGAGAAGACAAGAACAAGCCTGCTGCTTAGCCAGCATCTGACCTGGGAGCTGGCTCAGAACCCACAGGCAACAGGGACAGGTCTGGCAGCAAGCAACCCTGCAGAATCTGGGGTGCAAGGGGGTGAGCGCCCCAAGGGCAGAGAGAAGGCTGCAACTCAAAGCAAGAAGAAGCTCATAGAAAGGGGTCAGTGCATTAGGGCAGGGCAGAAGGTTCCCTGGGGTTCAGGGCTATAGGGTGAGATGCAGGCCTACAAGATGGAGTAACCTGGGGCCTACAATGATGGAGAGTTGGTGGAAAAGGACAGGACATTTCTAAACTGGAGTGTAGCCAGGGCACCCGTGTGTGCGCACTGAAGGTGGGGGGGTGTCAATAAGGTCCCCAGGAGGAGACCACTGGGGAGTCCTTAAATCCCAGCCCAGATACACTGGGACCCAGCTGTGGAAAGGAAATCAGAATGAATCCACCAGGATGCAGCTGAAGACCCAAATTGGTAGAATTCCTGTCCAGGGCACAGTTAAGGAGCAAATTAAGTTAAGGTCAGAGTGAGGTTCCCAATCTCAAGCGGCAATGATCAGAACGAAATTCTAAACTGAGTTCGGGCCTAGGACAGTCCCAAATGCTAAACTGGGGTCCAGGTGAGGACCCAGACTGGAAGCAGAAACAGACGGCGAACAGGGGGTAGTTGGGGGTCCAAGGCTAGTGTGAGGTCTCCCAAATGTCGGAATTGGCAGCCCCGGCCCACACTAGGAGCCGGGTAAAGCCGAAGTTCAGGCTGGGCACTCCTACCTTTGGACTGGGGCATGCCGGTGGGCTGGTTCGAGGCAGGCGACTCCATGGGGCAAGAGGGTCCGGAGACAGTGCGGAGAACTAATCTAGAGGACAGCGGACTCAACCCGGGCCGAGCGCGCTCATGGCTGTGGGCAGGCGGCCCGACGCAGCGAAGGATCAGGGGCGGCGAAGGAACAGAGGCGGCAGCGAAGTGTTCTCGACGGGCGGCGCCGGAGCCGGACTGGGCAGCGCCGCGGGGGCCCCGGCCGGACGGCGCCGACGCAGGCACCGCCCCCGGGTACCTATTGGCCCACCAGTCTCCAGGGTCCGTCCCCCACCTATCAAACGTCGGCCTGCCCTGCCTGTCAAGCACAAGCCTCGCCCTTTGCTGGCCCCAAATTCGGCTCCTCCCACTGTCTGCCAAGCCCGCCCGCCCGCCACCCGGGAAATGCAGGCCCGGCCAGGATAGAGCCTCCTGTCCGGACGCCAGCCCCGCCCACCCCTGGCACCCACCTAGACCGCCTCTCGTCTGGCAGACATAGGTCCCGCCCCCTCGCTCCTCGAGTCCGACACCCCCGCCAGTGTGGGTCTGCCTGGGGTCCATAATCTAAAACTGTGATCTCCTAGGGTGGCACGGCTGGGGCCCAGGGAAGTGGGACTGCAGAGTGATGCAGAGGGGTTCAAGGTGTGTCCTCTAGTGAGACCTGGATTCACATTCCAATAGGCTAAGGGGCATCTCCTGGGGCAAGTCAGGTTACAACCCAGACTCAGTTTTCGCCGGCGTCAAAGTGACAAAAAAACATCGTCTCTTGGTGCCACCGATGGTAATGAGACCGGGACTTCCATGGTCACTTAGGCACGTTTGTGGAGTGAATGTTGTCATGGGCTGAGCTCAATGTCCCCCAAGGGCGTGCACTTGGTCCCCACACACACACACCGCCGCGCTACAGGGCGTCTGCGCAGCAGGTACAGTGGTGAACCCGATGGCACCTAGTGGGAGTCAGTTCATGTAGTGAGTCTGCACACCCTTAACCTCAACCACCCCACACCTGGGAAACTTGGAAAAAGGAAGGTGTCCTTTCAAAGCCTTTTGCTCCCTTCTGTACGTCTTGAGGGAAGGCTCTTCCTGATTCTCCCCTGTGCCTGTGGCCCTCTCCTTCTTCTTAAAGACCTCAACCATCTCACTGTATAGGGGCCTGCCTTCTGCTCCCACCTAGAGCCTGAGGGACTTCAGAACCTCTGACCAATTAGTGCTGTGGTCAGGTGACCTGGATGAAAAGCTATGGGCTCATGAAGGCAGGAAGCACCTAGCAAAGGTCAAGGGGTCAGCCCCTTACCTCGAGGCAGACTGGACCTCACGTGAGAGAAGCAGATTCCACCACCTGCTAGAAATAATTGGAGCAGGGGTCTGACCTCCGCTTGCCCATTTGTAATACAAGGGTGATCTTACAGAGCCCCACCCACACAGTGGTGGGAAGGGTCAGATGAGATAAGGGGGAGACTTTATAATTATCTTTACTCTCTTCCTGCATTTCTTATACACCCTTTCCAGGCAGTGGGAGGAAAGTTATGAGCTCTGGACTCAGAAGAGTATGAGTTCAAATGCTACCTCGCCACTTACTAGACGTCACCAAGCAACTCCAAGTCTCAGTTTACAATATACCTCTCTGAAATTGGTTCATGAGCTCAACATGAAGTACCTAGGTACCTAAGAAATGTTTTTCAATAAATATTTGAACCTGTAAAAGAATAAATAAGTTTTTAGGTACAGTATGTTCCTCCTACAGGAAGCCATCCTGGTCTTCCCATTCCTGAGTGCCTGGAATGCGCCAGAACATCCTGTCTCAAATGGCCATGTGACCTTGGACTGGTCATTTCACCTGGGGTTCTGCTGCTTGCCCATCTGTAAAATGGGCACCCAGTAGCAGCTATTTCTCCACCAAATCTGCAAGCCTGGTCCAACAGGTTTTGTGGGTTCAGGCCCCTGCTGACCATTCAGACTTTTGCTCTACTCATAACCCTCCCCCTTCCACTCTCTACTTCCTTGTTATTTTCAAGGGTTTTAGTGCTGCCTCTTGAACATAGAAATAGTGGACCTGCCTCAGGGTCTCCATGCCTGCTGTTCCCTCTACCTAGAACGTCTCCCACTAACCCCCCTTATCCTACCATGATTCTTAGAATGGTTCTCTTTCACCCTCTTGGTAGAGAGGTAGTTGCTACTGGGTACCCATTTTTCAGATGGGCAAGCAGCAGGACTCCAGATGAAATAATCAGTCCAAGGTCACATGGCCATTTGATGTTCTGGCCTATTCCAGACACTGAGGAATGGGAAGGCCAGGATGGCTTCCTGTAGGCCTCCTCTTTAATGCACACCCCTAAGGAGCCTTCCTGGTCATGTTCCCAAATCATGCTTAATTCTCTGCACAGCATCCACACTGCCAATGCCCTTCCTATTTACTCTGTTTTTAATCTGCTCTCCCTCTAGGCTACCAGTCTCTCGTGAGCATATATTTTGCCCAACCCATCCCTGCTGCATTCCCAAAGCACAGTCAGTGCCTGGAACATAGTAGGTACTGAGTACTAAATACTACTCAATACTAAATAATATTAAATATCTGAGGAATGAACAAAGGAAAAATGGAAAGCATGCTGCCAATGGGGGTGAAGCGACTAGTCCCAGGCCAGCCTCCTGAGCACCCAGATGACTCAAACAAGGCCCTCCACTGGAGGGGTTAGTGGTTAGTCAGGGATCCTGACAGACAGCCCAAGAATCACAAAACTGCATGTGGGGTGCTATAAATAAATGTATGAGCAAGAGTCCCAGGAAGGTGTCAGACTCCACCTGGGTGGGGTCAGGGAAGCCTTCTCAGAGGAGGTGACTTAGAGATTGGACCTTTAAGGACTAGTAGGAGTTTGCCAAGCAGAAAGTAAGAAACCTCCAGGAGAGTAGAGCTTTAAGAAACAAAAGGGCCATAGGAGCAGCAGGGAGTATGGAGGAATGGGCTGTGTAGGGAACACTGCTGAGAGCTGAAGTTCCTCCTCCAGCTGGCTGCAGCAACATCTGTTGGCCTCCTCCTGCCTTGAGTAGCACAGTGAGGGGAGACTCCACCACTAAAACAAAAAGGGGCAGTCAACAGGGTCATGACAGATTGCCTCTTACCCCGGCTTCTAGCAGGAAAGTCCCAAACACCCCTCTCTGTAGACTCAGGGGAACTGGCATGGGGTAGGAAGGGGTGAGGTCAAAGTCAGAATGTGGGTGTTAGCTCAGTTGGTAGGATCTAGGCTGACAGAGGCTGGAGAAAGGATGTTCTGAAGCCAGGATTGGGAGAGCTGATTCACTCATCCATTCATTCATTCAACAACTATTTATTGGGCACTTACTGTGTGCCTATCACTGAGGGCACAATGTTGAACAAGACAGACACCACTCCCTGCCCTCAAGGAGAGGTGGTGATCTGGTGGGCAAGCCAGCCCAGCAAAATGCCTAAGTTAAATTATAGTCTGTCAGAGGATAAATGCTATGGGGAAAGGAGAGAAGGGGACCAGATGTGCCTGGGACTAGAAAAAGGGTGGTTAGGAAGGTGCCCATAAGTAAAGACCCAAGGAGGTAAGGAAGGAGTCATAAGGATTCTGGGGGGAGAGCATGCCTCCTCCTCGGGGCCAGAGGGAGCAGCGAGTCTAAAAGCCCTGGGGTGGAAGGTGCGCGGGGAGATAAGTATGTCCCTGGAGTAGTGGCTGATGCTTTCATGCTCACCCAATGCCTTTACACCATCGCAGCCGCTTGAGCTGCTTTCACACCTGTGTGAGTCACACACCCCAAATACACATGCCCACGCTCATAATGCAGTGCACAGCATGCACGTGGAGTGGCCACAGGGCACAGGCAGGTGTGGCATATGCACAGCTGTGCCCACACTGTCAAGGCCACTGCCAGGGACTCCCAGTTTGCTGACCCACAGTGCCCTCTGGTGACCAGATCCAGCATGGTAGCTGGACATGAGCTGGTCATTCTAAGGAGCCTGGGGCAGCATGGCCGGCCTCAGTCACGCGCCACGCTCTCTGCCCTTCCTGTTCCTCCTTGTGCTTCCTACCCCACACAGTGGTGGAGAGGGCCTTCCAAACTTGGGGTTGGCTGCGCTCCAAACCTTGCCAAGTCTCACTAAAAGGGGACTTTCTCAGACTTCTCCCCAGTTGGCTGCTCTTAAAAAAAGTTTTCTTCTTAAATCTTACTTTGCAAAGGAGGAGCTGGAAATGCTCCACCTTGGTTTCCCTCAAGGCCCACTTCTACTGCCAGAAGAGAGGCTCTGCCTGAACTGCTGCACCCCTTCTTGCCCCCCATTCCCAACTCAGCACCCAACTCTGCCAATTCTGTTCTGCCTCTGCATTGGATTTCATTGCTCCAAAGTAGGGGCTGGAGCTCTTTCCTTCCCAGATCAGCAGGAGATGGGGCTTTGGGTCGGTAAGAAGTTAGACTTGAGGGGCCTAGAGGCAGGTGGGGGCCTCTTAGTCAGGGACAGGCTCTGGCTTTGTATTGAACAGAAAAGGCTGAGTGGACATGGCAGAGGACTCATTGCTCGGGCACATTTGTCACCATTCAAGTATCAGAGGATGGACTCCTCCACACTCGATGGTTCAGCTGGGAAAGAGCAAGCCCCTCTAGAGCCCCAGCTGTGTCTCAACCCCTTGAAGCACATCAGTGGACTCACTGTGACATGAGTTGCATGAGGCCAGTGACTCTGCTTTGGTCACCAGTGTCCCCATCATCAGCAGGTACTCACTGAACAATCTCGGAATAGAGGAAGGCTTACAACACCCCAGCAAGGTGCATACCTTTACCATGACCTCCATTTAACAGGTAAGAAAACTGAGGCTCGGAGAGGTGACTAAGGCCACTGGTATTCACAGAGTTATTGTTGGAACTACCAGCTGGAGAAAGAATTTCCATGCTTTTCCCTTCCATTAAAATGGTTCTCAACGTCCTTCTGCTACTAAAACAAGTCATTTGCGAGCGCCTCTGCTACTCTCTGGAAAGGTGCCAGCTCTTTGCTTCTGATGGGGCCTTTAGGTCTGTGCTGCCTGACTCAGAAATGCTGCAGCTGCCTCCAGCCCCTGCTCTATGCCTCCCATGAGCTTGGGCCTGCAGCCTGTCTGTCCCCAGCTCCTCGCTGACTGCCCAACAGGTTAGAACAGGTGTTAACTGGCACACTCCAAGTTCACAACTTGACAC